AATAAATATTAATATATTAAATATATTTTTTAGATGTTAAAAAGCTAAAAACCTAAAACTACAGTTATAGGATAATACTGCTAAACTAAGTTTAAATGTTAAGATCCTTTTCTCTCAAATTTATTTAGAGTACGTTTGGTTTTGAAATAAAAGAGGAAAGGAATGATTTTTTTTATTAATCAAATTATAACGTCAACCAATATTACAATTTAATTGGTCAATAAATTCATTCTTTCGTTTACCTTCATTTTCCCCAACCAATACCCTTAGACTTCGTTTGAAATTGTTCTACATAATGTTTACTCATACAACATCTGATCTAAAGATGTAAATTTATTATAATTAACTGATTTGATTTAATATTTTATATATTTTTGATAATTTTAATTGATATTTTATTTTTATAGTAAATGATAAAAACTTACAGCCACATCATTGTAAACAAACCTCAGAGATCTGTTTATTTTTTTGTAATAATTCATATTTATTTTATGGCATACACCACATAAATGTTAAAATTTGAGGAATAGATCCATTTTTATTTTTATTCCAAAACATTCTTAATTCTTACTTCTTCTGCACTTGCGGTTTTGCTTTGCAGAAGAGGTGAGTCCTTTTATACTGAAATAATAGTCGTATTGGGCCTGCTATTAACGGCATTCACTCCTTTCATACAACTAATGCCCCCCTCTCAGCCCTTGCACGCTTTCAAATTGTCAATGTATACTCTACTGATGGTGTTGTGTGCTACAACACTAATTGCCGATGTTGGCCTCAGAAGAGGAGGCCGAGGCCGACTCAACTTCCGAACACACCGCTGGAGTCAAATTCTGAGAACTATCTCTATCCTATCAGGCTCACTGGCGATAATTTCATTACTTTCAATTATCAAGCCATACATTGCCTTTGTCTTGTTACTTGCGTGGCTCTTGTTTGCTAGACGCCTTACTTGCTGCTTGATTTTAAACCAACCACCGATGCTGCCTGTTATTAATAACAGAGTATCAAATTTCACCAATACAATTTCTGAATCCATCAATACAGTATTTGGTATGATGCAAAATTGGGCAATAAACTTGTTCCAACGGTGGACTGCAGCAATTCTAGTGACCCACAGAAGGAATCTATTTGATCGCCGCATCAGTGGCACGGCAAGGGGCATGGTCCAATTACCTGTTTAAAATCGGTGTCAAATGTAGTGCACGTATATCATTTTGTAGGGCGTATTAGAATGTAACTCTAGTGTTTGTAATAATCTTATCCCACATTTGTACCTTAGGGGACATCCCAGTGAATAAAGAGCATCAATCTACATGTTAGAGATCTTAAGTTGATACCTGAGATGTCTAGGGAGAAGTTTGGAAAGAAGAGGGTTAAACCTAAATGCAACATATAAATGATTTCCAACCGAATATATATTCTTTTCCAGATATTCGTGAAAATAATTACAAACATGTTCCACGTAGTTCAATATGCAAATTGAATATATATCAGATTTTGGCTATATGAACAAATCAAGTAGATAACATGTTTCTTATGAATGTGTCGATTGTATCACCCTACCCTTATAATCTACTCTTTTTGTACAGGTACGAGTACCCCTTGTACTCCAACTTAATAATACTATCTTTTGCTGATAAAAAAAAAGTAGATAACATGTTTCACCCCAAGGAACTTCACTATAAGTTGAATCTGTACACGCCCTCTTTCAAGCAAGCATCTTAAATTACACATTTACACTAGTTCCTAGCATATTACCTTATTACTGAGAAATGCTAGGTCAGGACTCCACAGCTTCCATTCTGGCAAGTGTTCATCCTACAAATCCCTGGAGATGTCAACTACATCTGAACTACAGTAATCAGGGCTGCCGCCAAACAGGACAATATATCCTTACACTCTTGGTCAGGCATTGCACTCCCAAAAAGAGAGTGCCTATAAGCCAATTAACCAGCACCTAAAGGTGAGTGGACTTACGTGGAGGGTCAGCTAATGATCATCTTGTGAATTACGAAGTTTCATTAGCTTGTCTCTCCACATTGCTGCAACAACCAATAGGCAATTATAAGTCCATTTTATACTGTAAGAGCAACAAAAGCATGACTGATAAACAGAAAGGAGAAGTGTAGCATTGAAAGAAGTTGCAGGGAACAAATGAACTAAAATAAAGGAAAAAAGGAAAAAGAGAGGAGAAAATAAGGATGGAAAAAATCAGCATCTTAAGCAAACTCTTAACATTCCTATTGTTGTTACCTGCATCATCATATCTTTCCTCCTTTACTGCTAACTCAATATTTCTAACCAATTCCAGTTCTGTAGACAGTAAATCTGGACCATCTGCAGCACTGGAAGAGATACAGCCAACTGTTAGACTACTGTATGATAGATGATAGGAGGAGACAACATGGAGGAACTGTGGACAATACCTGTCAAGGAATACATCATAAGAAGGCTTTCTATCATGCACTCTGCCTATTCTAACAGCATCTGCCAAGACAATTTGCTTATTTACATATATTGGAGCCTGCATATGACAAATCTCACACAAGAGCTTAGGAGAAGCTAACAGCTAATCAAAGCTATAACACAAGTGGCATGCAAAGGTTAGAGAACAGGAGGCAGAAGGCTTGGGGGTAGAAGGAGTAAGAGAGGCAGACTGCAAGGCATATCACTAATTAAAGTCCAAAAGAAGATAACTTTCGAGTACGCTTAACAGATGAAAACTTGATAAGTCTGATATAAGCATAACAATAACATGCTTCACTCAAATGATTAAACTAGCTCAGTCAAATCAAATCAAGTCAGGACATTTTTTTTTACCTTGAAAGTTAAAGCTGACATTATCTGTGAAACAAGTCAAACAAAGTAACTACTATTTGAAATTTTTAATGTTATAAGTTATAACTGAGCTGTTAAAAGTTCATACCTTGCATCTGTTAGCTAAGTTTATGGCATCTGAGGGCCGAGCATCCACACTTAGAATATCACTTTCCCCTGGCTGCAAATTGTAATAACAGAAGGTTAATTTTGTTCATCTATTTTGAAGATGAAAATGATATACAATCTAATTACCTTTCCAATGTATAATTTTGCAAAATAAGTATTCATCACTCTGTCAGTAATCCTCACCATTTTAACCTGAAATGCAGGGAGGAAAATTTCAGTTCAAAGAGTTACAACTCAGTAAAAGTGAATGGTCTCCTTCAACAAAGTAAGTTACCAGTTTATTCCAGTACCAGTTATCATACAATTACAAAGGCATGGTTACATTTCAAAACTAATACTTTCAAACTAGATCTTACCATAAATATTTCAAGAAGAATCATCATAGAAAACATCAAATGGTTATCATCAAGGCAGTTATCTTTTAGGATTGTCTAGTTATTCCCAGGCTAAAGCCTGTCAAATAAACTACTAGTAACTGTAACTCCAATCATAAGTTAAACTAAATAAGCTAGGCAGTGATTAAATATATAACCACTACCATCATTATACATATTATTATCCTTTCTTTAATTCACACCTTTTGTATTAATTATCTCCCCCACAGACTTCAAACACCAACCAACATCCTTTAATCGATATTATGGAATCCAAAAAAAAAGGTAAACAGAGTAGGAAACAGACAAAACTTAAGACATAAGCAAGTTTTAAATTCATGAGAAGATTAACTTCATACTTCATAGCCTAGCTTTTCCACAACATTTGTCACAAACTGGAATAGATCTGGAGAATCCTGCACCAACATGTTTCTTGGGATCAATACTACACAGATAACAAAATTAACAACAAATATCACAACAATCTTTAACAAATTACCCCACTATCATCTCCCCACAAGGCCTCTATAATTCTTTCAATAGCATAATCTCCTGCATTAACAGATGATTTATAGAGTTAATTGCACATAGATCCAACCCGAACCAGCAATCAGGATATCCGAAAAAGCAAACGGATTGTGCAAGAAGTTGTTCATATACCTACAAGAATTGGTAGCAAGAAGTCTCCATCACAAGAAATCTTAAGAAAGATTGTAGGACTCTGAAAACTCCTGAGGAACGTTGGTCCCAGAAGCTCAGACATAGGTTCCCTCTTTGGAAGAAAGGGAAGCAATTCCCTAGAAGACTGCCATTTCGTTTCTTGAAATCCTTTCTTCAGCATCCGGTAGTGCGATACAGTTTCTGCAATAACCGCAGCAACGATAATTTCCAAGGAATTAAACAAGAAGAATTGGTATAAAAAAAAAAAAGAAAAAGAAGAAGTAAAATCAACATAAAAAGACCTGGAACAAGGAGAGAAGCTTCGAGGAACTCGTGGTCGGGATCGTCGCCGGGACTGGATCGGGGACGGGAACTTCCAGGGAAAGAATTGCAGGAAATGAGGATGGAATTGAGAGGACGGCGGCGCCTCGTCCGGATACTCCATCGAATTGGGGAGCAAAGGAAGGAAGCAGAGGCGATTGGAGGAGTGGCATTTGTTTGATTCCAAGAAGTAGGGATTGCGATTGTACGGATGCAGAAGTGAGCTGCGAGCATTATCTCGGAGAGAGGGAGAGAAGAAGGTAAGCTAACAAGCCAACTAACAGAGGGAAAACAAAGGGTGCTGGAAGTGAAGAGACATGTGCGTATTTCATGATAAGGACTCGTTCTTGGCCTTTGTCGACGAGAATTTACATTTTTCGGGACACTAATAACCAAAATAAAATTTTTTTTTTAAATCCAAAGATTTGAATGGAAAATGCTAAAAAAAAAAATCGCTTTAATAATTAATATATTTTTTTTATAGTTACGTGCCTATCCTAAATATTTTCAAAAAATTGTTTTTATGTAATCTGTTTTATAAAATTATTTAAATATTTTTAATTTTATTTTTATTTTATGTTATTAAAAATATTTAAATAATTTACAAAAAAAAATTATATACAGCTCATTCTGTAAAATAATTTTTTGAAATACTTTTATAATACAAGCTGCATGGTGTTTAAAGAAGAAAAAAAGATACAATTTTGTTAATAGATATTTATTTTTTATATATTTAATTTTCAAATAAAACAATTAATAAATCCCCTTCTCTCTATGTATAAAACTTAATTAAAAGTCACAATATTATTATTTTATTTATCTCACATTTTTTATATTTAAATAAAACAAATTTGAATTAAGAATTTCTTTTTTATTAAGACAAATGGTTCAGAAGAAGAGAGTGAAGAAATGATCGAATTCTTATCGTGATGAAAAAAACTTACATTAAACTGCTGCCGGATCATTAGGCTGACAGGCCTTCTTCAAATTTGAATTAAGAATTTCTTTTTATTAGGACAAATTTGAAGAAATGATCGAATTCTTATCATGATGTAAAAACCTTACATTAAACTGCTACTGGATCATTAGGCTGACAGGCCTTCTTCAAATTTGAATTAAGAATTAAAAATTATAAAAAAATGGAAATGTTGCTGATTATTTAAGGTTCCAAGGTTTATTTTGTGCACAAAAACCCAGCACTCCAAGTAACTTTATTAAAATGCACAGAATAGAGATGTTAGGGAAAATGAAGACTAATAGATTACTTAAGGCTTTGGTAATTACAAACTACAAGCTAAGAGCGAATTGACATAACACTTGGGTGAAAAAAAAAAAAGGGAATTTCTCATTCTAAATGGGAAACTCCATCCTGTGATCCAATCCATTTGGAAGAATCATGCACTGCCTGGGACTTTCACTACCTAAAACTGGATATCCTGAGCACTTGGATGGCTGAAACTAATGGTTGATTGAATCAGTTCTTCAAAGTGGCTCGGTGTGACCTAGGAAGTTCTTTCAGCAGCTTGATCAGTTCGTAAGTTCTTGTGTCGTGACCAGAGTAAAGGCAAAGATGAAGCGGGGTTAAGCCGTCCTGAGACAAGTTGAAGGGTCACAAAGCATTTAAACTTCCCTCGTAGGAAAATTGAAACAGAAGTAAAATAAGATGAGAAATTGAATTACATCCAACAACAGATTGACGAATAAGGTGAATGTCTCAGTGGTATATTTTATGTTGATCAAAGGACCTTCAAAGATTACCCAATTCTGATTCTTTATGGTCCTTGAGAAGGGTATGGTAAAAGAGAAACAAGAAATGTATTTACCTTGTTTCTCAATGTCTTATCTGCTCCTTTAATTAATAAAAGCTTCACAATATCAGTTCTTCGGGCTTGAACAGCAAGATGTAATGGTGTCCAACCATCCTAAAAGGACATATAAGCTCATCAGCAAAAAGAATGTTCGATTTGAGAATGAAGTTTAATTGTTTAAAGCATAAAAGATTAAACCATACATTGTCCTGAAGATTTATATTAACATTATACAACAGAAGCAGTTTGATAATTGGACTTGAAGCTGTTTGGACAGCATAATGCATCAACGTGGCTCCATCCTATTGCCAGAAAGAGAAAGGAAAAGGTTAATTTTAATTATAAAAAAAACCAACCAATTTATTTTAAGTCATCGAGATGGAACGACTATTGTTCAGATAAAGATGCAAAAGAACAAGCTTCATCAACAGAAATCTGTTTATCCATATTGCCACTCCATCACCCTTTTCTTTTTCTTTGTTAGACAAAAGCAGGATCATCTATGCTTAAGCTCATAATGGAAGTCAAAATACCAATAGGGTAAAATTTAAGCTTAAGATGGCCTCACTAGTTCAGATTTATAACTAGTTTCACATACGGTAAAGATCTTTAGCATAAATAAAATTAAGTAGGAACTCACTTCATCAAGAACAAAAGGATTTGCTGATTCTCTTAGGAGGAAGTTGGTAATAGCCTGCCTTTTTCCAATTATTGCTTTGTGAAGTGCAGTCAAACCATCCTGGAAAGAATGTTCAGAAAGGAATGAGTCAAAAGGTAAACTTGAAATAACAAGCAAGATTCCTTGCATGTTAGCATATTAATCAAGAGAGTTGAAATAACACAAGACAAAAGCAAAGGAGAGATGTCCACCTGGGGTAGAGATCATTTTTATACCTTATCCATGGCATTGATGTCAATATTATGTTTTAACAGAGAATCAACAAGGTAGAACTCCCCTGCAGCAGCAAGTGTGTGAAGAGGAAGCCATTTGCGCTAACACCAAGAAAACAACAAAGAGTGTTATCTTGAGTAAATGGTAAGTTGTAAAAAAATAAAATAAAAAAAATTCCCTCTCTAGGATTCAATGCATTAATCCTGTAAGGAGGGAGCCAGAGGTAACTGCATCAATCAATAAAGAGTTTCTACCTACATATAGCTAATACTGGGCCTTAAAATACAGAAAAACATTGTCAAGCTGTTAAATTACCAAGATTTCCCTTGATGGAATTGCATAAGAAATCAAGAACACAACCAGCAGAGAATTCATGAAAAGAGAAAAAGTAGTGCTCATCAACAATCAAAAACCCAAAAGCATAGGGAACTCACAGAGGTAGCTGCCGCAACATCTGGGACACGCATATTTAACATCACCTTTTCTTCTTTGGTAAACAACTTTCGCGTGCCTACATTGTCAATAAGTAAATATGCATAAACAAATGATCAAATTATGGATTGGATTAATACAACATTAACCCCGCAAATCAATATGCCCAAACTTTAGAAAATAAAACTTGTATGCAAAAGAAGATACTCAGCAATGAATTAAACAAGAAAGAAATGCAACAGGAACCAAAATTGTATCCACAGAAGTTCCATACTCCAACAAATTACATACTGCTAGAAGCTCCAAAACCAATCTAACAACCAAATTTTATGTCATTCTCAAATTTCATCTTTTTAAACTAAAAATTAGAAGGCAATTACACAACGGCAAGCCTGAAAGGAAGAATAAAAACAATAGCTTCAGTAAGTTAGAGAATATTACCATCAGATTTTTTATCACCAGGCTGATATATCCCACTATTGAAGACCTGGTTAACATACTCAAAACCCTTCCCATAAACTGCCCACCTCGGGTTTTTAGAAGCCAAACGCTCACTGGAGGACGACTGCCCATCCATTTCATCCTCTGTCCCCACTGAATCCTTCCTCTCCTCCTCCACAGGAAAGCTGGAAGGGTTATCGAGAACCACCGGATTCAATTGAGCCACCTTCTCAGCTTTAGACTTCAAATATTCCTGCACATTCACGTTCCTTATAGGGACCATCCCTCTCCTCTTCTTCTCAACTCTGCTCCCAAACTCCAATTGCTGCGCAATCTTGCGCCTTTCTTTCTTGGTGATATTGACCTCGTCCAGAACATGTTTCCATTGCTCCGGCACTAAGTTCTCCGGCTTAATTTCCGTCAATTTCTTCTTCCTGGATTTGGTTTTTGACGATTTAATTTTTGTCTCAGGATTGTGGAATTTGAAATCGGACTGGAGATAGGGGTCTTCAAATGCTCCATCTTCAAAGACAAGACAATCGCCAACGACATGGTCTTCACCATCAACGTCGTCGTTCGGAGGAAAGGTGTGTGAAGACAGAAAGGAAGGAGAAAGGGAGTAGAATTTGGTGGGGAAATGGAGTTTTGGGGGAACCGAGAAGATGGGATTGTTAGGGATAGGAAAGGAGGGGAAAGATGGAAGCTTTGGGGTTGAGGGGTTTAGCAGAGAAGAGGAGAGTAACATCGTTTGGCTACAAAATTACAGAAGCTTTAAAAATTGATTATCTGCTCATTTATAGCAGGATGATTTCCATTTTCTTTATCACCATGAAGAAAAAACGTAAAAGGACTCATTAAGCAAACCCCACTATTCTGTCCGCACTAGCAATTTTGCTAGTAAAAAGACTTCCAAACCACGGTGCAGATTGAATTAAGAAAGTCTAACGTGGAGTTGCATTGCATAACTCGCAGGTAGTGAGATTAGATTTGCACAAGCAGCCCCGTGGCCTGCTAATATGTATTAAATATTTTGATTTATACTAAGGTTTATTATTTTTTTTTATTTTACCTTAGTTGCATAATGAAAAAGAACCATTTCTCATCTCTTATCACACTTCTCATCGGCATATCATATTATTCAAATTCAAGATTTTTTATTTTCAACGATAAAAGATGATTACTAATTTATTTAAGTTATTAACAAATTTAAATCTTTATTTGAGATATTTGTAATATTCCTTGCTCCTTAAAAACTTTCCCTTATTCCAAAAAAAAAAAAAATGCATAAAAGAGGATTTGCTTCCCTAATATGAAGCCTAAAATAATTAACAAATAAATAAATAAACTTCAAGCATCTTTGCATAGGGAAGTAAATAAATTTAGTTTTTAGGTTTAAAATTTTTTTCATCCTCACATGAGATTTAGATTGTTTTGGGTATTGCCAT